AAAGTAGCAACCGGGGGTTGTCCCTACAACATGCTGGGAGGTTCTCCGTAAACTGGTTCATCCTCTTTAATGATGCCCTGGTGCATGCACAGGTAAGTCAGCTCTTCTGCTGGAGCAAAAGCTTTTTCTGCTTTAAACTGCATCGCGTATTGTTGTTTTCTTTTTTTCTTTCCATATAACAACGGAAGCGTTTTCTACCCTTCACTGCAGGGTTGTTTGAACACATAGAAGTGCTAATGTTTTCAAGTTTCCAAAAACACTTGAAATGACCTATTGACATGTATTTTTGTTTGCTATTGCCTTGTGGCTGCCATGTTTGTTGTTATCCACTTCTGTGATCAGGGGGTATAGAAGGAAAGGGTGGGGGAGAGTATGAATGGGATGAGTATTTGGTGAAGTTTCCCTTCTCCCTCCTTCCCTTCTTCTCTCCTTGCCTACAGTTCTCAACACACCATATCTTTCCCTTGTCCACACTGTGGGTAGAGGCTGTTTCAGAAGAATCTGGTAATGTGTAAGTATTCTTATTTGTGATGTCAAAATAATCAGGTATTTTGGAAGGGGAAGATGAGGGTTATGCGATCACCTGAACTGGGTATGGTATACTTGGGGCAGAATAAAATGCAAGCACATCTACACTTCTCTCTTCTCTGAGGGCTTTGTATTTATAGGCCTCAAAATTAAAAAAGGAAGTGAGTAATCATTTTGTATTCATGCTCTAAGCAAGTTTGCCTTTTTTGGGATAAAATTACACTAGATTAAAATGCATGTCTTTTTCTGTGTAGGAATGGTTTGAAGATTACAACCCCAGAAGAACAGTTTGTTCTTCTTTCTTCAACACCACAGGAAAAGGTAAGTAATCTACAAATTTTGCATGGCTTTAGTGAAAAGAAAGTTTTCTTTTCTCCTCTGAAACCAAACAGAGAAAAATACTGGCTAGCTAACAAAGAATTGAAGTCTTTTTACAGATTGATAGGCTGTTTGGTCCTGTGCCTGACATTAGAAATGCCACAGTTAAACTGTGATGAGGAACACAAAGAATCATAGTAGTTCTCTTGAAGGATGAGATTGCAAAGGTAGATGGTAACTAAATTCTGTGATTAAACACTTTATTTCAGACCAAGTGGTTGAGGGCAATAAGCCAAGCAGTGGATCAGGCCCTTAAAGGGACTTCGGATTTAATTCTCCATGGAGCTGCTGGTGGGAACATTCAACGACAGGAACCTCCTATATCTCGTAGTGCCAAATATACCTTCTATAAAGACCCTCGACTTAAAGATGCCATGTATAACGGGAGGTGGCTTTCGGGGAAACCCCATGGCAGGTAAAAATCTTTGTGACTTAATGGTTCAAAAATAAAAATAATTGGATGGTATCTGAATAAGATCTGCTCACAGCTAGTTTGTGAAGTGCCAAGTGAACTGGTGTACTGGTACATATATGTGGCTTTTTGTATTTTTCAGAGGAATCCTTAAGTGGGCAGATGGCAGAATGTACTCTGGGACTTTTCGAACTGGGCTGGAGGATGGGTAAGATCCTTTCACTGTTAGAGACAGAGGCAATATAGGTCTATGGCAATATAGGTTGTTTGTCCCTAGAACATAGGTGCAACAGTATTTGAGCAACTTTTTTTTTTTTTTAAACTGAAGGCAACCAAGATAGAAGCAGATATAGGATGTGAGGAGACTTGCAGCCTTTTGAAAACTGAGAAAAATGCTGCAGTGTAGGAGGAGGAGGAAAGCTTATAATAGGGCAAAACCAAATGGAAGAGCAATACGATAAGAGATGCAGTGATGCTGAAGTTACAGCTTTCCCTTTAAAAAAATGAACTGTTGTACGTGAAGAGAAGCACTAAAACTAACATAAAGCATTCTGATTGCAGAATAGGTTTGTGCTATGTATCTGTTTCTGTGTTTAGATAGAATGGATGAGTATTCTAGCTGCTTGTGTTTCCTTCTCATGTATTGACAGGTATGGTGAATACAGAGTGCCAAACAAAGCACTGAACAAGGATGACCATTACGTGGGTTACTGGAAGGAAGGCAAAATGTGTGGGCATGGAGTCTACAGGTAATGCATAGAATTTGTTTCCCTGACTACAGAAGGCAAGAGGAATAGGGAATCTGATGGGAATGTGAACCTAACATAAAATTTCCACACTGCTTTTCCGTAGCACTAAATTTCCATTATTCATTTGGCAAGCAGTTGAATTAGTGAACTCCTGTATGTGGTTTTCTTGCTGCATTTTCCAAATCCATCATTGTAGTTTGCTTGGCTTGTTTTCTGCATTATTTTGGATGACTGCTCACAACACTGCTTGTACTGGGGTCTGTTAAAAATCTCCCTTCTGAAGTTTCCATCACTTTATGATTAGCAAGGATGTGTGCGTGTGTGTGTGTGTGTGTGTTGTTGTTGTTTTGTTTTGGGGTGATTTTTTTATTCTATTTTTTGAGAGAGAGAGAATGTGCTAATGGCTTTCCTTGTTAGGGAGAAGGTAATTTTAAATCATCCTCAAAATACTTTGTTCATTTATAACCCAAATATGCTTTTAATCTATTTCCTACCTGGTGTGGTTTTAATGCAATTCCTAATCTGGAATTTAAAAAGAAAGTAGGAAGGATTTTTACTTATGCTCTCTTTCATTAAAGCTATGCAACTGGTGAGGTGTATGAAGGGTGTTTTCAGGATAACATGCGTCATGGACACGGCCTGCTGCGCAGCGGGAAGCTGACCTCTTCCTCTCCCAGTATGTTCATTGGCCAGTGGACGATGGATAAGAAGAATGGTTATGGAGTTTTTGATGATATCACAAGGTAACTCTTCAGCTGCTGAAATCCTCAAGCATTTGACCTACAGTTTCAAAAATAGTAGGATAGGACTTGATTGGCAGCAGTGTGGTAGTAAATGTGTCAAATGTTTTCCTTTATTTAATACTGTACTGGGCATGATGGATCGAAGGAGGTGGTGATCTAAATCTGTCTAGAGGTTGCTTTTTAGTACTGCACCTGAGATAAATGTGTGTGTGGTGTGTGTGTTTTTTTTTTTTTTTTTCTCCTCAGGAGCATGGGGATTGTTTGTGGTGTTTTTTAACACCTTGCTTTTCTGTTGTATTACTGCCTTGTAAACTGGCAATGAATATGGTATTTTACTGGGAAAATACTGTTACTTGATTTTTTTTTTTTTTTTTTTTTTTTTTTTTTTTTTCAAATGTCATGAGAAGAGTGTGTTCTCTCATCTCAGGCATATAACACTGAGTTTATCAACGAGTTTATCAACGATCTAGTACACAAGAATTAGGTAAATTTCAGCTCAAACTCAGACATCCCACTGACTTACTGTGACAATGGGGGAAAGCTGCTGCTTCTCAGGGTAAATTGGTGAAATGCTAATTTAAGAACCAGAACTGCACGGTATAATACATGCTACCTGACCATAGCTGAATCAATACAACGTGAATCAATACAACCTTTTTTTTTTTTCTTTTTTTTTTCTTTTTGTCACTAATTCAGTGCTGATTTCTCTTTAAAAGAGAACTTTCAGTGAGTGCTGAAGAAACTATTTTAAGCTTAACTCAAGGTTCATTTATAAAGGAGAATAACAAGAAACAGTGAGGGAAAATATTTTTTTGAAACCGACCTATCGCGTCATCTCTGGGTGTTTCCTGACCACAGTTTTGCATTTAGTTGTGGTATGTGGTTGTGGTTGTTTTTGTGCTCTAGTCAAAAGATGTTGCTACCTACACCTGCATAGTGTGGGGCTTTTTAGTGCCAATGAGTTGCTGCTATGTCTAGCAGTGTTGGAAAGGATTGGACCTGCCAAGAAAATTTCCTTCTTTTTTAATTTGTCTTAAGCTAAAAACAAGTGTGGCATTTCGTGATTTAAATATGAGTGAGAAGCTGTTACAGGGATTCTTCCTACCCTCAGAGGAGTAGGATATATGCATAAGTTCATTGCCTAAGGCTTCATTTTCTGCGCTCTTTCTTTGGCCCAGCCAAAGAAAGAATTGCTGCAACTTCAACTTTAGTCATTATTGAAAACCAGTTATTTTGGGAAGCAGGACTGTCATATTTTCATCTTGAAAACTGAATATGCTGCATCTGGTCTTTTTAAGAAGCCCTCACTTGGAGAGCTGTGTTGCTGGCATGCAAAATGGTGCCAAAAAGCTAGAAAATATCCCTCATTTCTTCTTTACAATGAATATTCCATAACTTTTTTCCACATACTGACAGCAAAATGTTTCACGATAAGAAGAGTTCTATTCAAAAGTCAGTACTCTCCCTTTCAAAACATATAAAAAATAGTTGATGATAGGTTGGTTTTGTCTATTACCTAGAAGGTGAAGCACTGTGTCCTTTTTCAGGCCAACTGGAAAGCTGTGTTATTTGAAAAGTTTGAGACCTGGGGTTAGTTTGAAACACTCTAACCTGGTCTCTGAATTTCAACTGGCAACAAGAATTTCAAGTACTAGAAGAGATACTGTTTACATATGAGAAACCTTTAATTGGCTAATCTGTTTTTATGGTGTGAGCTTTGTTAGCTGTTACCCAGAAACTTTCTACAAGATGTCTATTTCCTGTTATTTTTGATGTTCTAATAATACGTTCAAAAAGTCAGAGGGAATCATGAAGGGATTACAGTTTCTATTGCAAAGAGTCTTTTTCTTTTATTCCACTATGCCAATAAAATCAGATTGATGGACCCAGTGCTGTATGAGTCTTTTGTAATGACTTCTTGACTCCGAAAGCCCAAGCAAGAAGGGATACAAATCTAATGGACTAATCAGATTGTATTATTCCTTCTTCATTCTTCAGAGGAGAAAAGTATATGGGAATGTGGCAGGATGATCTCTGCCAAGGAAACGGTGTTGTGGTTACTCAGTTTGGACTGTACTATGAAGGGGCCTTCAGCACCAACAAAATGATGGTGAGTTAAATGTTGGACTTCATCCTAGAGTGACTTGTCCTCTAAGCGTGGCGCTTTGTGGGCTGAAAGAGTAGTAACACAAGCAGAATACACTAGCCTGTGTACACCTGCAGTTCTTTTAACTTTCTATTGTCCTATTTCTTTAAACCATCATTATATTTGCTCTATTTTACTAGAACTACTGCAGAAGTTGCTTTAAAAAAATTGCCGAGAAATAGTAACAGGTATTTCAGTGTATCCTTAGATCTATGATGTGATCTTGTTTTCACTGTAACTACTGGTTTTAGTGTTATTAATGAGATACATGCGCGCATATATATATATATATGTATTTTTCCCCTCTGTAGGGGACTGGAATTCTGCTTTCTGAGGATGATACAGTGTATGAAGGGGAATTTGCAGATAACTGGACTCTGAGCGGAAAGGTTGGCATCACAATTGTATCTATTATTATAAAGAAGCCTTCACTCTCTTTTTAATTTTGTTCTCAATGGATTTAAAAATTTTATCATCTTCTCCCAAGGGAACACTGACTTTGCCCAATGGAGATTATATTGAAGGTCTCTTCAGTGGAGAATGGGGATCTGGAATAAAAATCACTGGAACCTACTTCAAACCTAGCTTATATGAGAGTGAGAAGGACAAACCCAAAGCCTTGTGAGTTGTGAATATAAACAATTTCTAATGTGCTTCTTCATCTCTGAACATACCTACTGATCTCTCTTAAAGAACAGTTAAAAGTAATTTTGCCACAGAATCGGTGAGATTCTGAAAACATTGACTTTCTCATGTATCTTTCCTCCCCTTAAAGCAGTAAGATTTAAAAAATGAAGATCAGTTCTTCGTAGCTGTTCCAGCATTAATTCATCCTTGAATGGTTAGATAGCACAGCATAAGATTGTAGGTGCTGTTACTGTTCTGTAGCAGTCTCAGATTTTTATTTAAATAAACTGACCGTTAGAACTTGTTTGTAGGTACTAATGACTTTTGAGGTTAAGAGAAAGATTGAGCTACATTTGAGTAGTTAAGGCCATTGCAAACCTCTGTCTTCCATTAATTATTCTGTTGGTAGCATCTATTCATATAACAGTCATGTAATAACACCAGTAGGGATGCATTTGAATAGAACTAGCTATTTAGTACACCTATTTCAAACAGTGAATAAGAAGTAGAAGAATCACTAAGAAAGAGTATTTTTAACACCATGGAAGAGAGTTTTAGAAAGCATCCATAAAATTATTTGTACTACACAGAGGGTGTTTTGGGTCAGTTTACTTAGTTATCTCTGAAACCTTTATTTGTTTCATTTAAGTCTTAATTAAGATATCTTTGGATAAAAGAAAAGTTCATCCTTAAACAGCTGTAGATGAAAGTCTAATATTTGATAGTTCTGTATACTGGTCTTCAAAAGACCTTTAAAGCTTACTCTTAAATTTCAGAGAGAGTAAAATGGGGAACACGCTCTTACGTTTACACCCAGCTTATTTCTCAGTATGCTTCCTGAAGTATTTGCTGGTGATTGCTTTTGACAACGCTGACATCTACAGCAGGATGCAACGTTAAGCAGGCCTCCGTGCTGAACTGAACACTTGCAACTTTAGCAGCTGTCTGTTTTTCACCCCAGTAGGGAGTCTATGAATAAATGTATGTACATATTTGTTAAAATTGCTTGTGAAATAAAGGTTTCAGGCTCCCTTGAAGCTGAAAATGTCGTAGTATAATTTGTGTAAAGGGTTATTCCCTGCTTTTTTTGGCTGTATAAAACTGGAATGATGGAGAATTCAGTGTTACTGGCTCTCATTTCATATAATGCTAAAAATATTAATGGAAGGTCTGATGATTTCTATGACACTTGATTTAAGTCTAAATCTGGGTAGAACTGTTAACTCCTGGCAACACTTATGAGAATGCTTCATGAGAATGCTTTAAAGCCTTAGATTTCATGGTATGCCCAGTATATATGGAAATCAGCAGTTCTTCTCTTTGGCTGTAAAGGATCTTTACCTTACCTGATTTTGCTCTTTACGAACTCTCTTAAGATACTATGCAGCAATATCTCTAGATATCCTTGTAGGTTCAGAAGCCATATAATATTTTTTTGCTGTTTATCAGAGTAGCTGTGCTACTTGCAGATTCCAAGATAGTGGAATTTTTTGGACATTTTTATGCAGCATCCTTACATAATGCATCCTATGGCATCTGAATGAATAGCCATGATGAACGTAAGCCCTGCCAACAGCAGCCTGGCCTGTTTTCTAGGAAATCAAAACGGTGCTTTTCCTGTTCAGAACTGTGTCCTGGAAGGCTACAAGAGAGTCAGATTGCCTTGCCTAGTATAATAAGGCTTACAGTTGTTCCCATATAATGGAAGCATCTTGCAGCATTAAAATCTGGTACATGGATAAATGTGTATTTTGAAGATGTTCCTTGGCAAGAAAGAATAATTATAAGCCTTGTCCTAAAGCCTTAGAAGTCCCTAAAGGGTATTGAAAATCAAGCCAGACATTTTTAGTGATGAACATAGCTAATGCTGTTCATTGTGAAGTATTAGAGTATGCTAGCATTTGGTAAGGGAGTATGAAGTATTAGACTGATACTGGGCATGGGTAGCTTTCACAGCTGAATGTGTTGTGCCATACTGTTTGATTTGAAGGAGTAACTGGTGATTTTTATTAGGCGGAAACTCGGGGTTTTGTCAGTGCCCCCTGATGAGAAGTGGAAGGCTGTATTTGAGGAGTGCTGGAATCAGCTGGGCTGCGAGATTCCTGGCCAGGGGGACAGATGGAAGGCTTGGGACAACATTGCCGTGGCCCTGACCACCAACCGACGGCAGCACAAAGACAGGTGGGTTCCTGGAGAAGGTAGTCACCAAGGTGAAGATTGGGGTTAGTTGCTACAATCAATGCTGAACATTAAGTAGCGTGTATGAATGAGGGCATTATTCCTAGAGGTTTTTTTCTTTAAGCATGCTTCTGTGTCCAGCTTTCTAGTAAGGGAATATTCAAACTGATCCAGATCAGTGCAGAAAATCATTAAGTTAGAAAATCATTAAAATGTAGTATAATGAAGGTTACTGCATGGCACAGGATGTTGGAGAATTTGGAAAGAAAGGTAAAGATTGTATTGCTGAAAGCTTAAGTGGTGGAAGAAAAGGTTCAGTAGAAAAGAAAATTTCCTGTGAGGTTTGAAAGCCTTTGACAAGAAAAGCAGATACAGAAGTCCTGCTTGGGATGTTGCAGGAGAGGTCCCTTCAGCAGACCTGGCCATCCAAATTAGGGGAAATCTGCTTTTGAAAAAAAGTAGGCAGGATCAGGGGATTAATGCAGAAAGTCAGCTTTTAACCACAAGAAAGCCATAGTAAAAATCAAAATGTGACTTTGATTCTGCTGAGTGCCAGGAAATGGATGGTGACAAGATCCTGGTGATTCCTACATGTCTCTTACGGTGAGCATAATGTTTTGCATGTTCATGACTTTGTAAAGGTTGAGATTTTGAGCTAAATGAGTCTGTGGATGAGTATTTTGTACAATGTTTCAGCTTCTGTTTTGCTGAAATAATGATGAAGAACTCTTCTGCAACAGATGTGGGAGGAATGAAGAAGTTCAGACTGAAGAGCTGTATCAGAACTGAAAAGTTTAAGGGAACAAGCGTGCGTGTGTGTGTGTATGTTCTTTTGTCCTGTGTGTTTTTCCTCCCTATCCATTGTTTTTCCTTTAAGGCTCTTAACTTTCTTGAGGCAGTTTTCATAATTACCTTCACGTTTGTTCCTACTGTGTCTGATGAATAACATGTACGATGTTCTTGTGATTTTTATAACTGCAGCCCAGAATTATTGAGTCGTTCACATACACAGACACTGGAAAGTTTGGAGTTCATTCCACAACACATTGGTGCCTTCACCCTGGAAAAATATGAAAATATCAAAAAATATTTGATAAAGGTATTGTGACTATCTAATGCTCACATAGCTTGTTGGTAAGACATGATTTTGAGCTCGGGGTTGTTATACTTGTGTAACAGCTTTTTGAATCCCTTCCAGATTCCATATTTATAGTCAAGGCTGAGTGAATCCATCTTTGCTTGTAACTTCCTGATTCCTTAAATTTATCAATTCATAAGTAAAATTGAACTCTCTGTAGAGCTAAAGTCATTATATACTTAATGAATGGTTCTTTAGTACAAATTTTAGCTTAACTACTATTTTGTTTCTTATGCATTTGATCCCAGCAAAGCATTTTGGAGTATTTGCAGATTATTGCATTTTATCTTTTAATAAAACTGGACAGATGGCATGTCCAAATAGTAGCACAGGTTCTTACAGTGCTTACATGTACTCTTCAGTTAATACCATATAAATTTCATAACCTAAAATCAACTGATTTTTATGATGTATGTGTAATAAATTGCTTTTATATCTGTTGTTGGACTTCCAACCTGTCCCTTTTTTTTTTTTTCTTCCTTTTTTTCCCCTCCTCCTCCTTTCACTTGCCTGATATTGCCCTGACTGACCAATGAATATGTTTCACCTCAGGCTTGTGATACCCCCCTCCATCCTTTGGGGAAACTGGTGGAGACACTGGTAGCTGTCTACAGAATGACCTATGTTGGAGTAGGAGCTAATCGACGGTTACTGCAGGAGGCTGTAAGAGAAATAAAGTCCTACCTCAAACGCATCTTTCAGTTGGTCAGGTAATAATACTCTAAATTTTTGCATCAAACTGTGTTGTATCATTAAAGATATGACTCGCTGAATTTCCTTGTGTTTATGTAGTCCAAATGTGTCAATCTTCACTGCATTTTGGGGTTGACTGTACTTCTTCAGACTTCTTAAGCACTCTTGAGCGTTTTCTGTCAAAACAGAAAAAATATTAAAATCTTCACTGCAGTGAATTACGTACTATGTAATACTGTAAAATAAAACTGCTACAGGGAGCTCATCTTGAATGTGGGTTTCCATCTGAGCACGTCTGGATTTATCTGTTGTGTAAAGACAATATTCAAACGGTATAGAAGAAGAGTGCAGACAGGGATTCAGAGTTCTTTGTCATCCACGTTAATAGGAAGTGATTGCTTAAATTCTTGAGGGCATTTGCAGCTTTCATTTTGTATTTGTGCTTTCATATTGGCAGGATCCTAATTAGTAGCCATCAGAAGCCTTGTCCAGAAGAAAATGATGTCAGGGTAGAAAATGTATTTTTGACATTGGAGAGGATTGCCTTTATAAGTTTCATCCCAAGTCAATTGTTGTATACATCTATTGTCTATAATGCTTTGTTCCATGATATTATTTCTGCTTCTGGCTGAACTTCTGTCTCCAGTCCTGCCTTTTGAATTGCAGTGATGAGTGGAAACTTGAAATTGTGTTATCCTTTGTGTTACTATCTAGGTTCTTGTTTCCTGATCTGCCAGAAGAGGGTAGCACAATTCCATTTTTGGGGACAGAGACAAAGGGAAGGCGATCCTTCTGCAGTGGGAAATCAGATTCCAGATCAGAATCTCCTGAACCAGGGTAAACGGGGAAAAATTGTTTGTCAATGGTTTTCGGCTTTCTAGTAGGCACAGTGAGTTCAACTTTATCCGTTAATACGGCAGCTTTGTCCCAAGTGCCTTCTGACTTGACAGGTTAGGTAACTTACTGGGTTTTAGCCTATTCTCTAGTTGATGCTCTCAGTAAGTGACAGCTCTCAGAGTGTCTCAGAATGAAAGCTAAATGTCCACCCTTGATTACTTTGAAGATGCAGGTAAAAATTACACTTCAATATAAAATATACTTTTAATGTTATACTGATCAAAAAAAACAGTGCTCCATTTCAAAACCTACCTAGACTGTATCAACAGAAGTTTTTATTCCTATATGTGTCTTAACACACATAATAGTTGATTTTTTGTGTGTGTGTTTACTATTCGCTCATAGAATGTACTCAAATTTAATATGTGTTCCAATCGTTGATCTCAATTCCACTTGTGTAAATGGTTAAGGATTTTCTTAATTTCTATCTCTACAGCTACGTTGTAACCAGTTTTGGCCTGCTGCTCCCTGTATTATTGCCCCGACTCTACCCGCCTCTGTTTATGCTGTACGCTCTAGACAATGAGCGCGAGGAAGATGTTTACTGGGAATGTGTTTTACGTCTGAACAAACAAACTGATACAGCTCTCCTAAGTTTTCTTGGGGTGCAGGCGTGAGTATGTTTCAACAATAAAACAGAAGTTAGATTATAGTGCATAAATATAAAAAGCATGTCTAAAAATGAAGCTTTGATGATGATCTTTTGATAATAGTGCTTTAATCATTAAAATGCATCTAAGCTCCATGCTCATTAATGTATTAATGTGGTTTAAGCCAGTGAATTAAAACATTCCTCTTAAAAGTCAGTATCACTCCAGTTCTCTTTTAGCTATTTGTGCTAGATAGAACAATTTTTACCACAGGATCTATTCTATCTTGGAAACTTGATGATCAGTTAATTTTATAAAGTGAATAATGCTTTATGAATAGTACATCTCTGTCCTCTCAATACAAACGTTGTCTTTCTCACAGGAAATTTTGGCCGGGAACTGTATCCATCCTTGGAGAGATTAGGAACGTAAGTTCATTGGACCTTGACTTAGAATATGCTTTACCCAGTGCTTCTTTTCAAAAACTTGAAAGCATGAAGAATACAGGAATTTTTTGAGCAGTGTTGATGCTGAAGAGATGCTCTGCTGTCTGCTTCCTGACGTTTTTTTTTTTGCTGCTTATAAGAGAAAAATAGTATGTTTTTTAGAAACTATCATTCTAGCTTTTGGCTTGACTTATTCAGAATGCAATTTTAGTAATCTAGTTTTAGACTAGTCTAATAATAGTCTAGTAATTAGTCTAGTAATAAATTTTAAAAGTCTGTAATCATTTTGCTTGATCTAAAATTCTGGGAAAGTGAGAAAATAAGCATCTACCAAGGTAATTCTCAAGAAGTTTGATCAGGAGGTTTGTACCATGGCACACCACATGATTAAGCAAATTGTATTGTTTTTATTCTTTCTCATCATCTTCCTGAAAGTAGCTGAACAATGGTCTACACTTCAGTGATAATGATTTAGTAATCATAGCTATTAACAGTTTTTTACTATATAACTTAGATCATGTCTGCTATGTTGAATGATACTTTTATTTGAGATTTTTATGTTTTTATGGACATTTAGATCCTCTCCAGATTTCCTGTTATCTATTTATAACTTTGGCTTGCACAAAAGGAAGGGCTAGAGACCTTCTACTGTAGTGTGTGATTTCTCTGAATTATGCAGAATGGCATGTTCTACACAACCATTTACCTTCTTTGCTGCGTTGTTCTTCAACTGAGCAGAATTTCTGTAGCAGAAATTTCTGTAGTTGTCTGCTTCTCTTCCCTGTTTAATTTCCTGCTTTTTGTGTTTTGGTCTCCTTGCATCCATCCATCCTTCCGTTCTCTGCTTCCCCCATGCAGAAAGACTTTGGCTCTTACCAGGCAACTGAGCCTACACTTGTATCTTTTCTGTCTGCCCCAGACCCAAGTCTGTGTTGAGTATTGACTGGTCTGGCTTCTCTAGGTGCAAGTGGTTCTCTACCTACCTTCATTTGGAAGGTATCTTAAAAATGTAAATGACTTCCATAGCTACTGAATATGACTATTGAGTGCAGCATTTTCTGAATTTTAAATAAAACTCTTAGAAATTGTAAGTAGGCAGGTTTTGAGTGTTTTTTTTAATTTGTAGATGCACTAGAAATTAGGCAATTTGTGCATGTGTGGGGAGAGAGTTTTCTAATGCCACACACTCATGCTAATGCAACAGTAGCTGCATTTTTTTCCCCTTTCTTTGTCTAGTCTTTGGAATTTGGGACTTTGTGTTGTCTTTGGAAAATTGCTGGACCTGAATGCTAAAACTTCTCTTGATTACACAGGTATCACCAACTACAAAAGATGCTTGCTTTGCCTCTGCAGTTGAATGTTTACAGCAAATCAGGTAATCTTCTGAGTTTTGTCTTTTTTTTTTTTTTCCCCCCTGCTACAGCAGCAGCAATTTAATTTATTTGACTTATCTTTTTTCTTTCCTTGCTCATTTTGGTAAGAGAGGTCATCTTAAAGTGTCAGAGTTCCTACCAGAAATGACAACAAATTCTCCCAGTGAGAAAACAAGTGTAGCTTCATCAATGGGACAGTTTGAGGACACCATTTAGAATCAGAAGTGAGAGGATATCTAATCAAATGTGCGTATGATTTTTTTTTTTTTCTTTTGTGGTTACTTTAGTACTACCTTCACCCCAGCTGACAAATTGAAGGTGATCCAACAAACCTTTGAAGAGATCTCTCAGAATGTACTTGAGACTCTTCAGGAAGACTTTCTGTGGTCTATGGATGACTTATTTCCTGTATTTCTCTACGTGGTGCTACGAGCCAGGTAGGCATTCAGAGGAGCATCATACCCAAGGCGGGCAGAAGCAGTTTGGGTACTTATGCTTATATTAAGCTTTCCTGCTTCTCATTGTAAGACTAACTTGTAGCTTTTTGTAACTGTAAATTTTACTTTTTGATTGTTTGCTTTGGGCTGAGTACATTTTAAAGAGTTTAAACTGAAATGTCTGTAACCTCAAAGCATGAATCTTGCAGAGCACATACAAAAAAGACATGTTAGTGGTGTGTTTTTTTCACCCTATTCTTTCCGCCATGTGACAGGATAAGGAATTTGGGGTCTGAAGTACACTTAATTGAAGACCTGATGGATCCTTATCTCCAGCATGGGGAACAAGGCATCATGTTCACTACATTGAAGGTATGCAAATTATTCAGGGCCCTTAAGAACTCTCTTTAAGAATTCATCAGCTTAAGGCAGTAATGATCAGCCTAGGACGATTACACAAACATTAGGTTAAAACTTCCTTGACGTTTTCAATAGATGTTTTTAGTTATTATGGGCAAAAAAGCTTAACTTAGAGCTTAGCCTAACATTTACGCCAACTGCTAATAGAATGATGCAATGGGTACATGTACTTACAGGTGAATGCTAGTGCCTCCTGACTTTGCTGTGCTCACTTGTCTTTTCCCTTACTCCACCTTACTCCTTTTATAAAAATTGGAATGAAGTGCTTCTCTTGAACAGTCCTAATGATGTTCGTCCAACATTACATGAAGGTGCATCAAGAAAGAGCTCGATTTTGCCACAAAAATTACCCAGATTCCTTTATAAATCTGTATATTCTAGTTAGTATCTTAAGATTTTTCTACATGTGGGAAAAGGGAGTAGCCTTCCCCACCTTTTATTTTTATAATGCTATAAGAAGGGAAGATCTGGGTTGATTGAACTTTCTCAAAGAATCTCTTTGTTTAGTAAAAGCTGAATCTTATTTTGTCAGAGTACAAATTTTTCCTGAAACATCTATATTAAGTTTCTGGCTGTTGCCCAGAACGTATGGAAATGGCATTGAGCGATAGCAACAGGTCATCTGTGAAAATTATGGTTGGAGTATTTATCTACATAAATGTCTTTACTTTTTAGTATCAGATGCTTTTGAAACTTTTAGGTTAATCCTTGTTTCTTTGTGCTATGAGGAAAGTATTTTCATTTTTGAATCCTTCTATCAAATGGTAAAGAAAGTCTTGTGAGCAAGACAATGTGTATCTTGCCAAAGTTGGGAACCACTGTAGTTCCAAAGTAGTTCCAAACTGGGCTATCTCACTTCAAGGAGAGCTGGACATTCTTTGTAACTGAAAGGTCCTCTTGCCTTTTTGCTTCTTTTATTTACATACTTGAAGAGTCTCACGTGTTGCAATGTCACTTGTATCATCACTGCTTGCAGAAAGCCTGGTCTTCTCTTGGGCAGGAAAAAAACTCAGCCTATTTGTGTTTAGTGCTTTATCAGCTTCCTTAAAACTGACGTGTGTGTTAAGCTGAATTTTGTTTTAATTCAGGCATGTTACTACCAGATTCAACACGAAAAACTTACTTAGATCACCATCATTTGTAACGTGGCTCTGTGGAATAATCTGCTGAGAACAACTTCATTACTACTCACTTCCTTCCTTGAAATGGCACTGAAAACATGAAAATACTCTGAAGCTACACATGTTCTGTTGTTGCACATGAACATAGTCTTTTTTTACTTCTGAACTTTGAATTTAAGATTGGAAAATTGCAGCTGGAAGCTAGTTATGAAGAGATGGTGAAGATAGCGATAATGGAGTTTGGTTTGCCAAGCAATTTCCAAGAAGAAATTCCTTCCTACTGTGAAAGAATAATTATTTATTCCGTTTAAATTAAGGTTACTTCAAAAAGACGTGGCATCTACATAGAGTACATGTGAAAATCTGGGTCGTGTAATTTCTAAATAGTACATTTGGTTTTTTTATTCCTGGTTTGTCGACAGGAATATTTAAAGAAAATTAATTGCACCACAGAACCATTCGGTCTTCCTGAATTCAGCTATTACTATGTATGTTTGTTTAGAGGAGAAAAAAAAAAAAAAGTAAAAAAGCTAGTATTTATAATGGTTTATAATGGGTAGCCTAAAATGTGCTTTGCTGTAAAGGTTTCCAAGCATCTTCTGTGGAGCAGAACTGCAGAAAGCAGTGTTATTACGTGCTGTTGTGAAAATAATTGCACTGTTGCAGACTTCCCTATTTACTAGAATTATGTAGTCACTACTCTTTGTTTATGAGAGAAAAAAAACAGGCACTGGCTAGTTAATATTTTGGGACTAAATTAAATGCTTAGTCTTTGGAGCATTCAATTCTGTCACCGTGAGATCCAAGAATAAACATTTTCCTCAAAAGAGAGGTCCCATGTGATAGGAAAATGGGAACGTGCTCTTCAGCAAACTGACACTGGCAACAGCTTAAGTTTGAGACTCTTGATTGTACAGCTAACTTGCTAGTTATTTCCATGTCAAAAAGAAAAATGCCCACCTCACTGCATTTTTGAAGATACAAAGAACAAGTAATTTCCATGGGGGATTTTTGTGTATGTGTGTGTGTTCCTCTGTGGTTTATGGTTACGTTTATTTATATCAATAACACTAGTGGATAACTTGGATATTGTAGGTGCTGTTCTGTACCGTGGCTGACACAAGAAAAGACTGGGGGGAATATTGGTTATGGAATGTTATAATGGCTTAAGTTTATCTCAAATGACCATAGAAAATGCTAATCATATTTTGAAAAAATATCATGGCTTGCATATTCGCACTTAAATTGTTCAAAAAAGGAAAGTATAAATACTGTTGGGAACAGTGACTGTAATGCAGCAATTTTCATAATAAAATAAAAAAATTTTCTGAGATTATTTTTCTTTTATTAGAGAAGACAACAAAGCAATTCTGACAAGATTACAAATGTTTCATTGTGTGCAGAACACGTTTGGTTAAAGCTCTTGCATGAAAGATAGCTGTGGTATCAGACTATTACCTATTTTTTTAATGCAAATAAATTAAACCAGGAAAAGTGTAGTGATGGGGACTGTGCCAGCTTTGGATCTGTTTGGGAACTATTCCTGGTTGAAATCTTTTCCTGAAAGTTATATAAGATGTGAGCATTTGGAGAGGACTAAAACTCTTCTTGAAAATAGTGATAAAAGTTGATTTATAACAGAAGCTCACACTTTTTTTTGCCTGCTGTGAATATTCCTTTTAAATATATGTAGCTAGTTGAATAGGTAGGTTGTTGTGAATAGTTGCAGGGTTTCATTACAATTTTTTTTTTTTTGCAAATATAAGAATAATGAATACTTAAAGGTATTTGCCTAATCTTTAAACAGGTTGCTGAAGAGAAACTGAGAGAACTTTTTATAAGTAAAACTGAAAACAAAAACTGAGTTTGCTTTTGTTTTGGAAGACTAACACAGAGACCTTGAGGGACAAAAAGAAAAATATGTAAGTAGGGAAAAGTTCAAATAAATAGTACAATAAGTCAAAATGTGTATACAGCATGAAAATTATATATAGTAGCTAAACAGAGCATTCTGTGACCATCTGCCTTGTTTCTAATACTGTTTTTTATCCAGGAGAATGCCAAAGGGAATATTGCAGCAAGGAAGTTTCAGATCATGAAGCTTGAGGGAGCACAGCACTTCTTATAGGTTTTCTCCCATATCTGGGAGGGGAGCAGAGGCACGTTCTGCCAGGCAGCTGTTTACTTGGGAACCTAAAACCCCCCTGTAACCTTTGGGGGAAAAAAAGGCTGAAGCAGAATATGTAGTGTGCATTGAAGACAGGAACATCATGATTTCTTGGCGCCCTTGGTGCTTTATAGTACACAAGGTACCTGTTGCATCGAACAGGTCAGGTTTGTGATTCCAGCATTGATTCCATAAAGTAGTTACCAAACCAGTTATTGCTGCCTTGTATAACATTAGAAACAAAACCTCTCCCATTGAATCTGCAGTTCCCCAAACCTCTGTTCTTTGTGTGTGATTAATAGTTATTGATTATCTTGAAAGAGTGAGTACAGAGATTTCCCTTTTTCCCCCTCTAGAGGAAGGGGATGAAGCATAGTGAGGGCGTGGGTGTGAGCCTTTTAGCATGGTGGATGCCAATTTGGAAATGGTTTATCTACTTAGACAGTATTTTTTCTTGCTATATGAAAAGTTAATATTAGGTTTGTTCACTCACCATGGGATTTTTTTGTTTCTGTGTTTTAGTTCTGATCTTTTAACTATTGACAGTTACTAGCTTATACTTAGAAACTTGAATGGTGACTGCCATATGTATTGTGTCAGTTTATGAAGTGTGGCATTTTTAGCAGATATTTTTCAAAATTCTAAAGTTTATGCCTCATGTAAACACTCCTCTGTATGGATACTGTCACTTAGGAAATTCTGCATTTTAAACTTTATTTTAAAAATACATTTACTTAACTTCAGGTTGAATGATACAAAATTGAGAACTAAAAACCAAAATGAATCTACCTTTTTATATACATACCCTCTTATAAAAAGCAGTGAGGTATATGCTGATTAGTGGAAACTGACCGGCTGGATTGGATTATTCTTGCAGTCTTTCTGCGATATAGCTCATTTATTAGCTGAAGAGAATCCGAGGATTACATGTACTTCTGACATATTCCCCTTTACAACCTTGTGTGTGGGCTGTGATGCACTGGGAAATCAGTGCTGGGCAGCTTTGATCATGTGTTGCTGTAGCTAGCCAAGAGGTGAGTTAACCTGCAGGACTTCTATCTCTATTACTTTACCAAAAACCCATCCTTCCACTCCCCACTCTAAAATTGAAAGCCAGGAATTTCTTGTGTTGTAGCAGAAATTCTGTAACCAGCAACAGAAGACCAAGATAACAGCCTAATTGCAGACTTGGTAACTGAAGAGAAACCCTGAGAGCTAACTGTCTTTATGACGGGGAAAGTTCTTGAGAATAACAAGCTGCTTAGGTGAGAGACAATTAAAAATAGGCTTTTTAAGCAAGAAAAGGGTTAAGGGGATTTATTCTCTTCTCCCTGGTAACAAGTAGTTCTAAGGTTAGGTTTCTGCGGATTAGAAAGGAGGAGATGTCCATAGATTAGCTAGGGCAGTTAGGTTACTCTCTGCTAACATGCTGCAAATATTCCTTCCCACTGGAAATTTATGAGCTGAACATGGTATATTCTGCTGGATTTGCAGGTAAGGCAATATGCACTCTTGTGAAACCATTGTACTGCTTTAGGCATATTTTCCACCGTGTATCTGTTCCTTCTCATAGTTGCAGTAACCCTGATTAAATTCGTGCTGTCTGTTTAATTCCCGTTTGCTAAGTACCAGAGATGTGTGTGAATGGGGAGTAGGATCTAAAAAGAGAATGTCCGTCCTTACTCCTAATCTTCATGAAGTACTCTGACTTGGGTGCCATGTTCTGTGCATTATTGACTCATTTTGCTAAAGCTAGATGCATTTTCCTGTTAGAATCTATTTGGGGAAGTAACTGTTCTTGTATAGTGAAGGTTAACCTAGAAGAAAGATAGGTGACTGATACGGTAGTTTCCCCATCAACTATATGGTTAACACTATCAGTTTTGCTTTTTGGATGTCCCAGCTGTGGACAGTAAACAGCTACAAGAAGAAAATGTGGGAGAAGTCAGTAATGCTCCAGCTTTGCCAGTCTGATGCGGCACACACACGTATTCTTTTCTGCGTGTTGTTCTTTTGGGGAGCAACATATAAGAGGTATTCCCCCCATGCAAATAAGATATGAGAAGCCCCAGGGCAGCTGTAGGAATGTGTCTTAGTGAGAGGTAGAATGAATCATACAGTTGAATACATTTGCAAATGTCAGTAGCATATTTTGTAGCAAATACAGGTGTGGTTGTCTAAAGCTCACACAGTGCCTTGCATCAATGTAAGACTTAATATTTTAACCTGTGTCACCTCAGACTTGCCATAAGTGGCTCTTAGGCCAGGCTAAGGATGTATGGTTTGAAAAGGGCAGATCCCATCCTTTGCTTAAAATAAGTGCTAAGTTACTCCTGTTATATTTAGGACTGCTTTTTTTTTTTTTTTTTTTTTTTTTTTTTTAATTAAAGCACTTACAGGTCAATGTGCAAAGGCAACATGTCTTTCACACTGAGAGAGGAGATTGATGTAGTCTAGTCATGAGACTAGTTTAATTAAGCTCATTTAGTGCAGAACAAAAGTCCTCAATAGGACACATCATTAGAAGGATGCTGAATATCTTTTATTGTTTGTGTGCTCATTGTGCCGCTTTGCAGTGACTTACAACCAAAGCTTTCTCAGGGCATTCCCTGCCCTCAAGCTAATTTGTAGTCTTTGGTATACCAACCTGCTGGTCTGGGATACATTTTACTATATGAATAGTCTGCCTTGTTAAAAGTGCCTGAAACTCATCAAACATCTTAACCAGAGAAGCTTACAAGATCGGGGCGGGGGACGGGAATGTGTCTGTTCATGTTAGAGTGTCAGAGTCTCTGGCATTTGTCTCCTTTAAAGGTTTCACAGAGTCCAAAACTACCTTTTAAGATGATTCTGAAAATGATATTTATGTGTGTGAGAGCAGGC